AAATCTGTGGGATTCTGCTAAAGCACTACTTAAGAAGAAATTAGGTCCCTGAAAGTTATATTGAACTCCCTAGAATCAAAACACAAACTTAATCTTAGATGCAGAGTAACAGAATAAAGTGTATGGGTTGATTCAAAAAATATATACTGAGCACCTAATTTCAGCCAGACACTGTTTGGGGACCTAAAAATCAAGCAAACACCACAAAAATAAGACTCCCTATTCTTATGGGGATTGATATTGTAGCAAGGGATATAGGTAACAAACATATAAGATACTTTCAGATATTAATAAGAAAATAAAACAGCAATTTAAAAGAGAAAGGCCAGAGAAGATCTCTATGAAGAGATGTGAGCTGAAACCTGAATAAGGAGGAGCAGGCCATTCAAAGATCTGGTCCCAGGGAAATAATGTTACAGGCAGAGATCAGCAAGTGTGAAGGCCCTGTAGATAGGAAGTATACAGGAGACATAGAAAACCAGTGTGGCTGGAGAAAGTTAAGTGAAGGAGGCATAATAGGATAATCATCAGTAAAGCCAGAGAGCAACATCAGAAAAGGCAGAATCAAGTAAAAGTTAGGTATATAGAAGACAGGCAAGCAGTTTAGTTCGACTGGAGCACAGGTAGATGGATGAGGACTGGGATTTGGCTAGAAAGGTACAGGTTGGTTTAGACTTGTACTCATGGTAGCCACTGTCTACGTGTGGCTATTGGCTACATGTGGGTAGTACAACTGAAGGACTCAAGTTTTAATTTGATTAATTCAAATTAATTTAAATTTGAATTTAAATTTTAAAACTTTTAAGTATTTGGGAAGAACTTGGGTATGTGAATCTACTGTTTCAACTGTAGATTTTATGATCTCTCAATATAGATCAAGTATTTCCAATTAAAATGTCAAATCTGGATTAAGATAGGCTGTAAATAAAGTTGCCCACTGTATAGGTTTTAGCACTTAAGTCATATATCCCAGGGTCACCTTAGCTATAATATATACTCCAGATTTTTGAAGTATGTAAAATAACATTTTTAAAGACAGGTTCAGATAATTTGAATATATAAGGTTAAACATACTAAAATTAATTTTACCCATTTTATACTTTTTTTAGTGTGGCCATTAGAAAACTATTAATTACACAACTGACATATTTCTTTGAAATAGCACCTGTCTAGATAAAGGCAGGCCTTGAAATCCAACTTGAATTTCACTATTATTTAGTATGAAATAGTCACTGAGATTTCAAAATTCCACATTAGTGTTTTTTTTTTTTTTTTTTTTTTTTTTTTGTCAAGAGAAGTATGGCAACATTTGGAACTATAAAAATAGTACTGCCCTTTAAAAGCTGTATTTTTAAATCACTTCAACAAAATGAAGTCACCAAAAAAAAAAAAAAAGAAGAAAAAGAAAAAGGCTTTCAGGCCAAATGACTTGATTACAGTTACACAGGCTGTCTAACATAAAGCCTCAAACAAATTTCTAGTTTTGAGTGTAAGATAAACCATTTAAGAACAGTTCAAAACTGTTCTTAACAGTTGACAAAAGTCAACTTTAGCATGTATTCCTTCTTTTGACAGCCGCAGGTTTCTAGACCTATACAAAATCTCATTTTTCTACAAACTAGGAAAATTTCTAATCAATATCAAACAATCACAGACAATGGCAGAACATTTTAAAAGTTAATTCTGTTTTGCGGAGAGGAGAGATTCTCAAAGACAGTCCCCTTTTGCCCTTCCTCCAACAATGTTCTGCAGTAGACAAAGAGAAGTCAGAGGGATCATTTTGCCTTATTTTGTCAATTATAGGACATCTTATCTAGCACCATAACTGGCTTCCTGCTCCCCTCCTCTAGTGCAGTCAGCCCTGTGTATCCACAAGCTCTAAATCTGTGGATTAAACAAACTGCAGACAGAAAATATTCAAAAAAAAGTAAATAATAAAAATACAGTATAACAACTATTTAGATAGCAATAACACGGTACTAGGTATTAAAAATAATCTAGAGATGATTTAAAGTACATGGAAGGGTATGAGTAGACTGAATGCAAATATTATGCCATTTTATATATATGGGATTTGAGCATCTGTGGATTTTAGTGTCCACAGGGGTCCTGAAACCAATCCCCTGCAGATACCATGGGACAATTGTAATCTATAATTTGGGGAATGTCATCACCAGCCAACCAGCTACCCAAACCAGAAATGTGATGGTCATATTAGATTACACTTTAACTTCACATCATTGAAACACTTTCTCAAATTCTACCTTCTTAATTTAGTTCAAATTTTCCTTTCTACTTCACCCCATTCCCAATCCCCATCTAAGGGCCACACAGGTAAGTATGGCAGAAATGGGATTAACCATTTGGACTCGCTAGGTCATCTAACCCAAGGTCATGGTTCTAACTCCCAAATTGTACCTCCCTCAGACAGTTCTCAAAATATCTCAGAAATGTAGATCCCCCTTCACTTGCTAGAAACAACCACCTAAACGTTTTGTAGGCAGGTCAAACTCAACGTAGCCAAAACCCCAATTTATCATTTTTCCTATCCAATCTGTTCCTTAAAATGTTGGGATTTTAGATTTCCCATGCTAAATAATTAGATATCAGTTTATCTCTCAATAATTAATCAAGTCTTTCCCATTTTCTTATTCTTCAAATCTTTTCTCTATTTTTCATGTCAATAAATCCATATCATCCATTTCTTACCTAAACTCCCCTTAATATCCAACATCCAATCTTCATGTGACCTACAAAGACTTCCATGGTGTAACCATTGCCTACCCCTCTTATCTATTTATGTCCTTAAGCTTAGTGATTCAGTCATAAGAAACTGCTTATGGTTTTGTTTTTTTGTTTCGAGTGAGTCTTGCTCACCAAGGCTGGAGTGAAGTAGTGTGATCTTGGCTCACTGCAACCTCCACCTCCCACATTCAAGCAATTCTCATGCCTGAACCTCCTGAGTAGCTGGGACTACAGGTGCATGCCACCATGCCTGGCTAATTTTTTTTTTTTTTGTATTTGTAGTAGAGACGGGGTTTCACCATGTTGGCCAGGCTGGTCTTGAAATCCTGGCCTCAAGTTATCCGCCCACCTCGGCCTCCCAAAGTGCTAAGATTATAGGCCTGTACCACTGTGCCCAGCTGATTTATTTAGATATGGGGTCTCATTCTGTCACTCAAGCTGGACGCAGTGGCATGATCATAGCTTACTGCAGCATCGAACTTGTGGGCTCAAGCAACCCTCCCACCTCAGCCTCCCAAGTAGATGGGGACTAGGAAGTGTGAGCCACCACGCCCAGCTAACTCTTTTTCTCATTTAGAGATGGGTCTAAATGTTGCCCAAGGCTAGTCTTAAACTCCTGGCCTCAAGTGATCCTCCCGTCTCAGCCCCTCAACTAGTTGGGATTACACACATGAGCCAACACACCCAGTTCTGCTTTTAGTTTGTGCATAAACTGGGTTGTTTCTCATCAATATTTGTTCATGTGCTCTCTATACCTATATTGCCCTCTTTCCAGTTTCAGGAGCATTCTCAGGTCTCCAGTGTCTACCCATGAAAGAAAAAGTAAATCTGAGTTACACAGGCTCTGCTGGTTTTAAAATCTAAGAATCAATAAAATGTGTCTATCCTGTTACCCCTAGTAGAGGTTCTCAGGCATAGAAAACCACCATGAGAATGCATTTCTAGTCATAAAGTTTAACCAATGGGGCTTAAAGGTCAAGAGCATTCTGGACATTCAGTTTATTTAAAGCACAACTCTGGTTCCTAATCATCTCAGTTCTTAAGTATCTGTTCTTCAGCATCCTTCCCAAAAGAGTGATTGCCAAAATTCTGCTTGATTTAGCACCCTGTATGAGTCAGCTGGAAAAAGTGACTTGCCAAGGTAACTCTAGGGGAAAAAAAAGGCAAAAATGCCATGGAGGGGACTTACAATAATGTGATGTCAAGAGGAGCAGGGAGGAAGAACTGCAAGATAAATCTTATTAAAGGAAATGTTCTGGGCACACGACACATCAAAACACAGTTCACTTGGAAATCATAACTTACCATTCAAACTGTGAATACAAGGAAAATATAACAAAATCCAACATCAGCCTTCAATATTCACAAGATATTCATGAATCTACATACCAATGAGTATTGATTTTATAATTACACAGATCACATTGCTTTTCATGAGCTCACCACAGTAACAGAAGGGAAATTTTATCATTGTATCTATAGTAATTGTATACTAACTATAATTAATTGTATCTATACTAATTAAGAGTGTTCAACTGAATGAAAATAGGGCTCAGTTGTTGCCTCACCTGCCCTGAAGTCTTCTCTCTATATTAAGATGCATAAGGTGCCTTTCTTTACTCGCAGAATTCCTCTGCCTGTTTCGCTCTCACTGTATTGTCCACATTATCTTTTATCTGCTCTGTGTTCGTCCTCTAGACTGTGACCATCTTGAGGACTGGGTCATGTGTTTTTCATCTTTGTATCCCTAACGCGTAATAGTACTTGGCATTTGTTAGTAATCAGTAAGTGTACCACATGACTGACTAATCTAGTCTTCTTTTTACTTGATTAACATATCAGAAAGTCTAAACCAATGCTAAAGTAACTAACTAGCCTATGAACTGTTTGTTAATAGTTTATAATGCAATAGAATTCAAGCCAGAATGTTAAAAGAAAAAGAAATGCTTCCTTTTAAAGAAAGTCTTGCTTGAAAAAGTATCTAGCAGAACTAATGCTTTGTGATGCAGCTGATTGACATTCCTGCCCCATTTTGGTTCAAATACTTGAAAGTTGGATGAAGACATTTTCATGAGAAAAACTAAAATGCTAAGGGGATGGGTAGTTAAAATTAACTTTATGGTCTTCATTCATCTTTATAAGCACAAATATTCATAGACTGTCAAACTGATTTAAACTAAAGACACCTATTTTCAAGGGTAAAAAATAAACACAGACACAGGGCACTTAAAAAGTTTTTAAAAAGCCAAGACACATAAAAAAAAACTAATAAATTTTTAATTAGAATTTTTTCCTTTTTTTTAACAGGACAAGTAACAGATTACATCAAACTTCAGAACTTCTCAAATACCTAGTTATTATACACATTCCCATCTGTCTTGCAGGGAGGGATCTTGGTCGGCTTAACAGTTTCAGGTAAAATAAGTTGCATAATAGTATATATTACAATAATAAATGTACAATGTTTACATGAAATATGTTTTAGAAGCAAGAAAAAGATGCATCTGCATCAAAGGCGACCTTTTAAAATGCCACAACTATTTTTTACATTCATTCTTGCAACAGGTTACAAGATGGGGGTCACTAAACTCAGATAAATCACTAAGATGCACATAAAATACAGGAAGATTGGTTACTTTATATATTATATATATTTATATTTTCACACGTTAGCATCTGAGACATAAACTGAGAATTTAAAATTTATTCTCTTCAGATAACAAATCATTTTTTATTCTTCATAAACAAGGTGCCCACAAAAGCACATAGGTAAGGCACAATAGGGCTTTCTGTTACAGAATAGTGTGCATCATGTTTACTTAGCCAGAAAACGTGCATTATCTGTGCAAGTTCATGCTGCAAACCCAACGCATACAATAAAACGAAAAGGAAACTGAGCTTTAAATAAAACCAAAATTGGTACAATTCCAGCTGCTTCACATATTCATTTGGACTGACAATTATATATCAACAGGTTATTTTTAAAAAGCCAATTGTAGATTACAAGTAAAATTTACTCAGCAACTATTTTTATCTGAAATAATAAACAGTAATAAAGTAAGTTTACTGAAACAAACTAAATACTGAGGCACAAAGCAACGGTCAATCGTGCATTTACTATACTGCAAACTTTCATGACCCAAAATTGCAAGTATAATTTGTCAAATACACATTCTGCTGCAACAATGTGCCCTGCTTTAAACTTGACATACAACAGAGGCACTAACATATCATTAAATTATAAATAGATTGGGAAAATGACTTAATCCCAATGGTACTATGTCACAGCCCTGGTATCTATAATAAATACAGCTTTTCACAAAATATTTTTCCAATATCTGCCAATTTCTTCTTTATTGCTCACATAAATTTAAATCTATTACAACTGGTATCAGAACTTTCACACAAAATCATACTCAGACATTTTTATATAAAACCTATAAAAGATATTTTAAACTTGTATCTAATACTTCCAGGTGTTTGGCTGTTTGATCTATGCAAAAGTACAGCCATATGTGTATATCTGTGTGTGTATATATACACATCTATATATATACACACACATATACACATACATATATACACACACATTAGATTATGAATAAAATAGAAAGCTTATTTTACTGCTTTAATGCAGACATCTTCACAAAACAAGACTACTTTCACCACCACCAGCATTTATACATATATACAAAGCCAGTTTAAGTACATATACATCCACTTACACATATTTGTAACCACTAAGCCCAAATTAATTTTCCCATATTCCAGCTGTAGCAAATGAATCACTTATAAGCAACAGAAACCTAAGGTTAAATTGGGAAATCAACAGTTTTACCACATTAGCCTGTAGGAACTATGCAGGTGACTGCAAACAAAAATTCACAACATTAGTTCACAAGAAAGTATGGGACTACAAGAAGCCTTTTCATCATGCTTTTGTGTGGTTATCCAAACACTTCTTGGTGCAAAAATACAACCACCACATCTGAAAATGCTTAATAAAGTCAATGTTCCTCATGCAAAACTTTAAATGCATTGGCTTAACTGAGCTCCAAAAACTGAATGAAATAATTATCCTACCTACTCAGCATTGCTGCCTCACTGCTAAATCCCTTTGGAACCTTAAGACTTCTGGAACGTTCAGAGATGTATTCATCAATAAAAATATTACATACAAAAAGCACTTAAAAAGGAAGACAAAAAGCCAAACAGGAATTTTCCTATTATAAGTAACAGTCTTAGAAATGGAAGGAAATCTTTTCAGGAACTTCCTTGAGAATTGGTTAGGCCAGTCCGAAGACGAAGATGAGACATAGAGTTCATATGTTTATTTGATGGCTTCAATGGAGTGTTGGAAGTGAGAGCCTGGGGAAAGCGATGGTGGTATCTATCTAGACGTAAATATTTTACTGTAACCAATTTCCCTGTTGTAAGATAAAAATAATATTTTAGATCAGTAAAACTGTTTAATATTTGCAGAAAATTAACTGTGGTAAAAGACATATGAGCACAAAACATAACTAAAGTCATCTAAAATTATTACTCAAAAAAATGCTAACCTAAATTCTTTTACTTGAAATCTGGTATAGTTTAAAATTAAACTATAACTATCTTTTCAAAATGTTTATAATACTCAAATTTCTTACCATCAAACCAAGAGCCATGCAATGCTTTAAAAGCCTTTCCAGCATATTCTGGAGACAGACATTTAACATATACACAACCCTGGGATATTAAAAAAGAAAGAAAATAGTCTTAGTTTAATAGCAACAAATCCAAAACATGAAATTCAATACTAAAAGTTACTTTACCTCACGTGAATTTTTGTCTACTGCAATGTGAACAATGCCATCATTATCACTGCATTTTTCTAAAATTGCTTCTTGAATTGCCAAATGCCACTGATCCCCTATTTCCCTAAAAGTTAATGAAAACAAAAATCAACAACCATATTCCTACTCGGTAAAAATTCTTCATTGTCTCTTACAACATATATATACTACTAGAATTGGGATAGTTTTAAAACCACATATGATTTTAATTGGTATTAAGTAAATGTCTGTTGACTAACAGGAGGTGGATTTAAAAATAATAATTCAGAAGTCTCAGCCCTCCTCTCACTTTCCAGTAAAAGAGTGCAGAGAACTGGCCGGGTATGGTGGTTCATGCCCGTAACCCCAGCACTTTGGGAGGCCGAGGCAGGCAGATCACGAGTTCAGATTGAGACCATCCTGGCTAACATGGTGAAATTCCGTCTCTACTAAAAATACAAAAAAAAAAAAAAAAAATTAGCCGGGCGTGGTGGTGGGCACCTGTAGTCCCAGCTACTCGGGAGGCTGAGGCAGGAGAATGGCGTGAACCCAGGAGGTGGAGCTTGCAGTGAGCCTAGATCATGCCACTGCACTCCAGCCTGGGCGACAGAGTGAGATTCTGTCTCAAAAAAAAAAAAAAAAAAAGGAGTGCAGAGAGCTGAGGCAATAAAAGACTAGCCCACCGCTGCAGAAAAAATGGATTGGGTCATTCCTACGTTTAAAAATCCTGTGTACTTACAATTATTTCTGTTTTCTTTCTAGTGTTAATAAGTACTTTAAATGAGTTGTGAACTTATTAAAGTTGTAAAAGTTAAATGTTATTTATTTTGAGACAGGGTCTTGCTTTGTCACCCAGGCTGGAGTACAGTGGCGTGATCTTGGCTAACTGCAACATCTGCCTCCCAGGCTCAAGCCATCCTCCCACCTCAGCCTCCCAAATAGCTGGGACTATAGGCGCATACCACCAATCCTGGCTAATTTCTTTTGTATTTTTTGTAGAGACAGGGTTTTGCCATGTTGCCCAGGCTGGTCTCAAACTCCTGAGCTCAAGTGATCCACCCACCTTGGCCTCCCAAAGCACTGGGATTATAGGTGGGAGCCACTGTGCCCGGTCGAATGTTATTTTCTTTAATTGTAATGATATGTTCAAATTCCTAAAGAAAAATCTTAGTAAATACTATATTTGAGCTTCTCTTTTCCAAAATAATGATACAGGACTAACATTTTGTACAGTCACCTCACTATAACGACAGTTCTAAGGTTTTTCTGCTGTAGTAATGGACATTTGTCTTGCTTGTGAGACAAAGATGGTGGGAGAGAGAGGAAAGTGACTTCACTTTAAATCACAAATTTTCACCTTAGGTAATAAAATAGTGGACTTGTGAGTTCCTAAGATACGAGGTGAGATTTCCAACAGAGGTATCATCATACTGCTAATTGTTTCTATCTCTGCAAAATTAGAGGCGGTGTCTCTGTGTGTGTGTGTGTGTGTACGTGCGCGTGCAAACAGGTGTGCATACTGCTTCCTCACATTTCCAATTCCTCACAAATTCCAAATAAGCTGTCACTTATTTGGAATTTCATCAATGAGTGATGAGACTCTGGGGGTATTTTATACATACTGTAATTACCACTGCCGGGACTTTTAAAACAAAAAGAATTTGATCTGTAATATCACTCCACTGTCGAGACTTTTAAACAGAATTTGATCTGTAATATCACTGCATAGATAAGCAGTACCCTCAGGAAGCTAACTGTAAGAATTATTACAGCTTATATATGAAATACTATGAATTCTAAGATAGTCACTTTTGACTGTGCTATTCTCTGGAAGCATGTTGTTTGAATTATAAAGTGAGAAGTTCTTCAAATATTACATTGACAAGTGGAGACAGGACTTTGTAGAGAAGCAGGTGTATACATCTTTACAGGAAACGTTTTACAATTTGAGATTTGAAATTTTTAAGAAGCAGTGATTTTTTCATCTATATTTTCTACTGAGGCAAAAATATTGACAGTCATGTATAATGACATGAGTCATTAATTTGCCTCAAGCATTTATCTATTTATCTGTTATGGGGATTCATAGGGAATACAAAGATTTATAAAAGTGTTACAAATCTTTATACATTAGTGTCCTTTGGCCAAATCTTTGCTTGGAATTTAATGAAAGAGAAAAACATAACGTTTCTGTAGTAGAGATTCAGAAGAAAAACATTATCAATTACAGACACACCATTATAAGAATATCATGCATTTTCCAGCCAAATATTCAGAATAAGAGTTACATGTACCCCTGATCATAATACTTACATAACGGGATCAAACATATTCCGAATCTTTAGACACGGTGTCAAACTATTTGGCGGTGAATTTCTTCTATCTAAATGAAATGCTACAAAAAACAAGTTAGATTTACTATTTGTCATTGTTCCAATTTGTTGAAAGGTATTCACTTATTCAGTTCATTCGAAAAATATTCACTGCATGCTTTTACTAGGAGCCAGACCCCTGGTTAGATGTTAAGGTGAATAAGACAGATAGTCATTGCTATCAAAGAGTTTACAGTTTAATGGGAGAGACAGATGATAAAGTGTCATGCAAGAAAGTACCACTGTGATTATTAAGTCCTAAGAAAGGAAAGTATAGACAGCTTTTTAAAAGTAACTTAACCTCATATGAGAAAATAAAAGTTCCCTGAAAAAGTGACATTTATGTGGGAACTGAAGAGTAAAAATTAGCAGGGTGAAAAGAAGTGTGTAAAGGAAAATTTCAAGCAGAGGTGACTGCTTGTACACAGCTCCTGGGGCAAGAAGGAGCAAATGTGGCTGGAGTAGTAAGAATAGAAAGATAAATCTACAGAAGATGTCAGATTATTTAAGATGATGTAGGCTACAAAAAAGTATTTGGGCATTATCGTAAGAGTAATAGAAAGCCACTCAAGTGTTTTTAAGGAGAAGAGCATGAGATCTGTCTTTTAAAACTACAAATTTTAAAATACATTGTTATGTGGAGACTCGGGTAAAAGCAGAAGTGAATGCAAGGTGACCAGTTAGAAGGTTATTATTATATTATAGTTGTCTAAGAAGGAGAGGATAATGATGTGGGTAAGACAGGCCAACAGTGCAGGTGACAAGTGGATAGAATCAGGGCATATTATGAAGTAGACATGACATGACCTGTTGAAAGACTGGACAAAGAGGGATAAAGGAGAGATTAAGAATTACCCCTAAGTTTATGCAGAATCAACTCGGAAAAGGTATCATTAACTAGACTAGGAACACTGGAGAGATCAGGCTGGTGTACATGTTGAATCTGTGGTGCCCACCTCCTAGTAGAGAAATATATAGTTGGGTACAAAAATCTGAAAACCAGACTTCATTCAAAATAAAAAATTGGGGAGTTATCCCAATATGGTAAATTAAGTCACAGCAAGATGATCATCTAGGAAGAGATGGCACAGTGGGAAAAAAAAGATGGCCTTGAGAAACTCTAACACCTAGAGGTGAAGAAAAAGAGGATAATCTAGAAAAGGACTGAAGAAAAGTCTGAGGTAGGAGGGAAAAAAAAAAAAAGAAGAAGAAAGTGGCATCCCCAAATCCCAATGAAGAAAGTTTCAAGGAGGGCTGAACTGTCAAACACTGTTAAGAGGTCAAGTAAAATAAGGAATTCTCTATTTTCAGTTTATAGGGAAACTGAAATGCATGCATCATTTAGAGGAAATAGTATAATCGTTGGCAACATCAAAGCATCATTTTTTAATTTAAGTTCTGGGATGTATGTACAGGACATGTAGATTTGTTACACAGGTAAACGTGTGACATAGTGGTTTGCTGCACCCATCAACTCAAACCCATCACCCAGGTATTAAGCCCTGGATGCTTTAGCTATTTACCCTGACAGAGCATCACTTTTACGCCATGTTTAAAGAAGCCTCTTTTTCAAGCTTTTTCAAAGCGAAATTTAATGGGAGAATAAAAAAGGAATGACTGGACTTTGTATTGCATGTCCAAAACAACTTACTTACCTTTTCCACAAATACTGTGTTTAGCAAATATTGACATACTTTTATAGGAAAAAGTCATAATCTTCTGATGCACTGTTTTCTGCTTTTCTGTGTAGCAAAGGTTTGGGTACATATGGCAGCCAATCTTCAAAACCCCCTACAAACTTATCCCTTCCTTATTTATACATGTTTTTGAAACTATGTAGGCATTAAGAAAAATATAGAAAGATACCCACAAAAGTTACTTGGCAGGACGGATATATAAATAGAAAGGTCTTAGTAAGAGGAGGCAGGCAAAAATTGGAAAAAAAAAGAGCAGTTAAAAAGTTATAACTTCACTTATATACATACAAGTTATATATATTATACTGTATATATAACATAAATTATGTGTTATTTACATAAAGAAATTAGATGAAAAGAATGCAGTTAATATATATAATACTAAGTTGCTTTAAGTGAAATAGGCAAGATTCAAGGAATATTCATCTTTATTAAAGATAAACCATTTATGTTTGCATTAGCAAGGACAAAAGTGTGGAAGGATACTTAAGAAGCTAACACTGATTCCTTCTATGAAATGGAACCAGAAAGACAGCTTTGCCTTCATACATCTTTGAATTGTACTGTTTCACTTAACACATTTTTGTCATTTTGAAAAACTGGAAGAATATTACTTTTTTGATGTTTACAAATACATACCTTGACCTTGCCATACTTTAGAAGGTATAACTAATATTTTGTCACAGGATGCAGAAGGCTGGATCCACCGCCAAACCAGAAAATCTGCACCACCTATTCTTCGTGTTTCCGTGCGAACTCTAGACTCATTAGCAGCAAGGAAGTCAACAGCTCTATCCCAGACTTTCTTCATTTTTTTCCTATCAAGTGGACAAAATGGCAAATTTACTATCATCTTGGCTTATGTCATCTTTTTGAAATATTAGTATCTGAGGTAATGTTAACTCTAGCTGTTCTTACCACTACTCATGGAGTTTGTTCAAAGAAGATTTAGATGCCTATACCTCATCTCAGATTTACTGAGTTTCAATTTCCAGAGCTAGAGCACAAACATCTGTATTTTTTTTTCCCCCAAAGCTCCACTGGCGATTATGTGCTGCTAGGGTCAAGATGCTGCTTCAGGATATGGAATTATCTATTATTTTCAAAAAGTTGTATTTAGTTTTTACTTTAAAATCTTCATTAATAATAAAATTAGTACTTAATAAACATTAGTAAAACACCAGCCACTGGCTATCATCTATTTCTTTATCAATATGAAATTAAAGGAAATAAGATGGAGACTAACAACAAAGAATCAAGAATGCCTAGGAATGAGAATGACTTAGAAATCCAGGTGTCACTCAAAATCAGGAGAATAATAGAAGAGAATTTAGAAAGAGAGTATAAAGTACAAACAAAACAAAACCTGTGCAGTAAGTCAGTCTAGTTGAGAAGGGTCACAGCTCTCAATATGATTTTCAATACTGCAGAAAGCACCCATATTTTCTGATTTACTTGAACTCATAATGCTTTGAACACACCTGTCATGAGGCTGTATTAAGGAATCGCGTACATGTGGAATAGGCATGTAAGGCTGTAAATCTTTGTTTTCCTGGCAGGCTTCATTATGACTTCGTAAAACATCTAAAAATAAATAAAATTTACAAAGGAATCAATAACTTGACATAATGTTGTAGTTTAATCACACAATGACTCTTGCAGAAATACTTGAGATTCTTAGAAATAGTTGAAATTCTTAGAAATACCATACCTATAATCTTCACCACCATATCATACATCTGTCTTGTTTCTTCCTCTTCTTTTGTCCATCGATATTTCATGTAACGCAGAACGACACAAACCATCACTACACCTGTAATATTAATATACTTTGTGTTTTAAAAATTGTGGTCAATATCACTCAATAATATTGCAGTGATTATTTTAACTGCCACAATGGAATGAATCTTCAAGACAGATGGCTGAATTAGCTATACGATTAAAACTACATAAAAAAATTTAATACTGAACATTTTCCAAAGTTTCACTTCTTTCTAGAAAAAAGCATTTCTTCCATTACCTTGACAAGTGAACATTTAAATTCTAACTACTATTTAAAAAAAAGTAAATATAACTATGTTTCACAAACTTTTTTCCTTTGTAGCATAAAATGACTAGAAAAGTGAATCTCGTAAGACTAAACATACTAAATCTTATAAAAATCATCTTAAAAAAGAAAATGAATTTTTCTTTTGTTGTTGTTGTTTTTGAGATAGGGTCTTGCTCTGTCATCCAGGCTGGAGGGCAGGGGTACAATCATGGCTAACTGCAGCCTCCAACTCCTGGGCTCAAGAAATCCTCCTACCTCAGCTTCCCAAGTAGCTGGGACTACAGGCACATGCCACTATGCCTGTCTAATTTTCAAAATTTTTTGTAGAGGTAGGGTCTCACTATGTTACCCAGGCTGGTCTTAAATTCCTGAGTGCAAGTAATCCTCCTGCCTCAGTCTCCCAAAGTGCTGCGATTACAGGTGTGAGCCACTAAAGCTGGCCAAAATGAATTATTTTTAAAGAAGAAAGAAATAATAAAAAAAAAACCTATCACCTAAATCCCTATTATCAATTTAAAAATGATAAAAATTTTAATTTAGGTAAATGACATTTTAAAAACTAAACATAATTTTAATAAACTTAATTTATAACACTATTATTTAAAAATAAGCTCAATTTTTATATTTTTCAATTCTACTTTCTAAAGTAGATTTCTATGTATACACTGACCACACTTGTTTTTTTTGACAGTCTTATGACAAAGTTTTATTCCTACCTCTCCTTATATTACTGTATTCTAAGCCCTTAGAATGATCCTGACATTATTTTTATTATATTTAGAGAAGACATCTAGCTGTGACTTATGTGGCAACAATCACAAAAATGAATTCTCAACTCTGGCATTTAGTGAAATACACACAAAAATTCAGACTGCAATTTATCTCCTTTCTTACCTTTACAACTTACCTAAGCATAACAACAATAATCTGTGAGTTACAGTAACAAAAGCACGTCGAAAACGACACCAAAAAGACATCAGTGGTCTTGTGGACTGTAAAAACTGCACATCAGTTATATTTGTCAATTCTTCCTCAGGGCCAAAACCAACACACCTATGTAAAAATAAGTAAGGTAGAATTTAAAGTCAAAATCACTTCTCCCAGTACAAAATGGTCAAAGTGGAAATCAGATCCTTTACCTTATTCCAACATCTTTTCCATTTTCTAAGATCCACTGCAATGAAGTGTTAAATATACCTTCATATTCAGGACCTAAATCCTAACAACAAAAATAGAGAAAAATAACTATTCTTAATCTACATTCGACTCTCTGTAAGGTATCCCTTATAACACACTCTATATAACATTTTATTTTAACTACATAACATAAAATATTCATTACTGAAAATTTAAAAAGAATGAGAAAAAAGAAAAAAAAAGTTAGCATTTTCCCACTACTCCAATATAATCAGTGTGAATATTTTGCTTTTTTTGTTTTTAATTTTACATATTTGGGAACTGAGTCTCTCTCACTCAGGCTGGAGTGCAGTGGAACAATCTTGGCTCACTGCAGCCTCTGCCTCCTGGGTTCAAGCGATTCTCCTGCCTCAGCCTCCCAAGTAGTTGGGATTACAAGCGTCAGCTACCAGGCCGGGCTAATTTTTTTTTTTTTCTTTTCGTACTTTTGGAGAGACGAAGTTTCACCATGTTGGCCAGGTTGGACTTAAACTCCTGACCTCAAGTGATCCGCCAGCCTTGGACTCCCAAAGTGCTGGGACTACAAGCATGAGCCACTGCGCCGGGCTTGGAAGTTCTTTATTATCATTAGTTTATCAGTGCCATCATAAGAGTGAATTCACCACTTTTTAAAATGCCATACTATTTACAAATGAACAAAGAAATGGCAAACTCTTCCAGATACGGATGTTTCACAGACATATTCTCAACACATAAAAGCAGTAAGCCTATCAACTAAAGAAAAACTGACTGGGTTACCAATTATAAGATTTGAGCATTCAAGTAAAAAGTAGAATTTTGAAAAACTAGCATTCATCTTTGTGATCTGGACAACTTCACAATATTTGAAGACCTTTCCAATGAGATTTGTGTAACATTCACAAATGCAGTTTTTTGATATGGAATAATGAAATGTGACCAATGCATTTGAAAAATTCTGATTTTTATAAAAACCAATCACGCATATAACATCATGCATAGGTAAAAGATCCATTCAAAGTACAAAATAAACAAAAGGATTTTACGAGACGAGAGTACAAAAAGTTCACTGATACAGTTTGACATTCCACATTGCAACTAACATTTAAGAAACTACTACTTATAGAGGTTTGGTATCATATCAAAGAAGAGTATCTATCTACAATTATCTGAAAAGGCAACTAAAATACTTTCCAATGTTTTGACTACATATCAATGTGAGGCTGGATTTTAATGACGTACTTTAACTAAAACATCATGACAGGTTGAATACAGAAGCAGATAAGAATCCAGTCTCCTTTTATTAAGCTACAAATTTAAGAGATTTATAAAATATATAACAATGCCACTGTTCTCATTGAATGTTTTCATTCTGGAAAAGTCACTTTTCATAAAAATACATTATGTTAACATATAATAGATTCATTTTTCTTATTCTAAATACATAAATTTTTTCAGTTTTAATTTTTAATATAAACATGTATTTGTAATACATATGTACCATTAGAAAGTAAATATATCTTTCTAATATAAACAAAAACATATAAAAATATATCTCCCACAAACAAAAGCCAGAGAGTCCTCAGTAATTACAGGGAACCAAAAAGTTTAAGAACTGCTCTGTGTGGGTAGAGTATTTTTAAATTAAAATAGTAAAAATAAATGTGGTATCATACTACACATACTATTGTTCTATTTGCTTTTTTTAATGGAACAAAATATTGTGTCAATGTCAGTATACATAGAAAAAATCCTATTTTTTCAACAAAATAGTATACCATTGTATGATTATTCTACACTTTTAATCAACCCCTTATTAATGAACATTTAGAGTATATCCAATTTTTAAAATTTATCAAATATAATACTGCTATAAACACCTTTACCATGTGCCAAGTACTATTTTAGAAACTAGAGGTGCAGCATAAACAACACAGTGAAAATTCCCTATGTTCATGGAGTTTGTATTATTAGTATGTCTTTATGTCCTTTTTAACTAAAAAATGAATTTATTTATTTATTTTTTTCTGAGACGGAGTCTCACTCTGTCAACCAGGCTGGAGTGCAGTGGTGCGATCTTGCTTCACTGCAACCTCTATCTCCAGGGCTCAAGCAGAGTCTTGTGCCTCAGTCTCCCAGGTAACTGGGCTATTACAGGCATGTGCCACCACACCCAGCTAATCACTGTATTTTTAGTAGTAGCAGAGACAGGGTTTCGCCCTGTCGGCCCGGCTGGTCTCAAACTGCTGGCCTCAAGTGATCTGCCTGCCTCGGCCTCCCAAAGTGCTGAGATTACAGGCATGAGCCACCGTGCCTGGCTCATAGAGGAAAAAATGAATTTCTAAACACAGAAATAAAAAGTCATTACAATCTCTCTTAAAAAGAGATTCTTCTAAGAAGTGCCCTATTGTATTTTATCAACAAATTCTTCAGCAGCATTGGAAATTGTAAGGTTTTCATTTGATCAGTATAGTTTACTTCCTAATATAAAACTGATCAGTTATTCTAATGTATCAAATTTGCAAATGTAATACAAAGTTTTATAAAGCAGAACTAATCTTGTTAGGCATCGTTACATGAAACTACTATTGGGATTTTTAAGATCATGAAGATAACTATAGGCCATCTGTCTTTTTAAGCTTGGGTGTTTATTATAGCATTTACAAATATCAAAAAAATTGCAATGTATTTAATGATTGAAAAAAGGTTTATATATGAGATCATTTCAATGGATATTATGAACTTAGAAATAATCATGATGAGAGCTAAATAGCTATCTGCTTAAAAAAAATAAAACTACGTTTAATTTATATATATATAGTCATACCTCAGTATTCATGGAGGATTGGTTCCAGGATGCCCCATGGATACCAAAATCCACAGATGTTCAAGTTCCTGACATAAAATTGCATAGTATTTGCATATAACCTATGCACATCATTCTTATACTTTAAATCATTTCTAGATTACTTATAACACCTAATGTAACGTAAATGAATATAGACAGTTGTATTTTTTAAATCTGTATTTTTTCCATTGTATTTTTTTTTCTTTTTATTCCCAAAAAGATTTTTGATCCACGGTTGGTTAAATCCGTGGGTGCAAAACCCATGTACACGTAGCGCCAATTGTATTTATAATTATAAAAATATATGTACTCATATGAGTAGCATAAGAATGAGGATACAAGTGATTTTTATTCGCTTTAATATTGTATTAAAATATGCAATAAAGTTACACAAAAGAATTTCAGGCAATTAGTTTAAATTACTACTAGAAATCACTTTGTGTATAAATGAAAATCTACAAAGGTTATCAGTGCAGCTGAAGACAGCATTATTGCATTTAGTTTTCTTTGTAATGTTGTCACTACCATACATTTTTAAAAAGGATTTTGTGTTCATTTGGTTCTTCAAAGACACAGATGTCACATAGTACCCTTGAAATGCATGCATATATTAAAAATGAATGAAATAAATGTTGTATTTACTTGTACTTATATACATGCTGTTCAGCTTGTATTACTATGATTTGCCTAGTATCATGGCATGCTTTGCATTACTACATATACTACTGGACAAGTTTAATCTAGTCTTCGAAGACTAGACTATAAACATAAGTTTCAGATAACATAAAAACAAACTCCCAAGGTTATTAGTTGCAAATTTTAAATATAAAAATTTTAGGAGGCTGACATTATAAATATTACTGTTCTCATCAAATATCCCTTAAAAATTAACAAGGACACCCACAGATCTAAAAAGTTAAGTACGAGGAGGAATGAAGGCCTTAAACCTCTTAGTTACAAAATAACAAGGGTAAGAAAAGACGATCTGTTGTTATTTTCCCTTTTTCTGTTTTCCTTTCCCTTGTTAATGTCACTTGACATCCACTCACTATCTGGAATACAACGAAACCACGGAATGTTCATTTTATGGGTACACATTCTCAATAAACAATTGATTATTTAAAACCTCATTAAGGATTTAATAGGCTGTTGAGGTCTAAAATATGCCATTATTTCCACAAATATATATATATAGCATTCTACAGTATTAGAAAATGGAATTTTTATAAAAGCAAAAATTGAATTATTTGCTTGTGCCAAATAGTTGATGCTAATACTGTAGCATACATAGCATATACCTGATTTTAACAGTTTAAACTGTTTTATTATTCACTTTTTGTAGCCACCTGGTAAGCTGTGGGTACGGCAGGGGTTGGTCAACTTTTTCTTTTTTCCGTGAAGGGCCAGAGAGTAAACGCTTTAAGCTGTGCAGCCATATAAATTTCTTTCTTTTTTAAAACCAAGCTTTAAAACTGTTGTAAAACCACAGCTCACAAGCCATACAAAAACAGGCAGGCTGGATCTGGCCCATAAGCCATGGCTTGCTAACCTCTGAGGTAAGGCATTCCAGCATCATAAAACAAACATTTTCCAATAACTGATGACAAAAATCAGGAGGAAACTAAGTTTTTAATTTTTAAGGCACAACTTTTATTACTATTGTTTATTACTATTTACTTATAGGCAAGAGCTCAGTCAGTATACCACTGACTGCTTCATGTAAATCTTTCTAAATTCGAAGTATATTTTCCCAAATCTTAAATCTAACACATGTGTGTACTCACACATACCCCCATGACCTCTCCCAAATGTTATTTTCAAAATAATGGGTCAAAAATGTGTAAACCCACATCAGATGCTCTGAACTTGGACTACAGTTTCCAAGTACAAAAATAATATTGTTTCATTAAATAAGGCAACAAAACTTTAGTTAGTAAGAAGGGAAAAAGGCACTGGTATAGGCAGAAATCAAGCAAAGACTAAAAACCTACTATGGATAATTTATGAAACTGATAATTTACATAGTAATAGCTATGCAGCTTTCCAGCTGGTGAATATTCTAGTGAACTGTGAGATGATATACACTATACATCAGATGGCACCTTTTAAACTTAATTAAAATATAACACACAAAAATCCACAATGCTGAATAGGATATCACTCCTGATTCAGTAAGAATTGTATGATCTTTCACCTGCTAGAATAACAGAAAAAAA